ACTAACACGTTCTGGTTCAATTGAGTTTTTCTGCAAATTCTAAGGTATACTTTGGTGTAACTCCCCAGGGAAAAATCATGTCTCCCCTAGTCCTTCTTTCTATTAAACCAGACATACCCAGTTCCTGCAACCGTTCTTCATATGTTTCTCCAGTCCCCTCATCCTCTTTGTTGCTCTTCTCTGCACTTATTAAATGAGTAACTGCTGTTTTTACAACCTTTCTTGCACATGCCTACGGAGATTATCCATCACACAGTTCACAGTTGTCGCAAAGGTGCTCTTTCCAAAAGAGCTATTGGCCTTTTTTGCGTTTGTTACTTTGAAAAAGTTTCACTTCTCATCCAAGAAGCTTTTTTCTTCTTAAGTATGGAAGAAACTTCTTGGATGAGAAGCGAAACGTTTTCAGAAGGAGGGAAAGACCCCCAAGAAACTCCAGTTGTCTATTGGGAAGAAAGCACCTTTGGGACTCCCCCCGCCCCCTCCCTGGTTAAGAAAACCAGTGTTGTTGTTAAGTGAATTGCACGGTCGTTAAAATGAATCCAAGTGTCCCATTGTCGGGAGCCAGCTGGGAAGGTCACAGACGGCTGTCAGCCAATCCTGGGAGGCTGCACCTGCCATAAAAGACACCAGTTTGCCAAGGCTCTGGATTTTGTTGATGTGCTGTGACGGTCATAAGTGCAAGGACTGGCCGTCCGTTGCTTTTTTTGTAACTTCAGACGGTCAGTTGTAAATTGAGGATAACTTGTACTGCGACAGACGTTCTGCGTGTCCTTTTTCAAAAGTCCCACACCCGTGGGACTCCAAGCGTGGCCCCTTTAAGCTTTGTGGATTTCAACTCCCAGAATTCCCCAGCAGGCTCTGCTGGCTCTGGAATTCTGGGAGTGGAAGTCCAAAAATCTTAAAGGGCCACGCTTAGATACCTCCGTCCCACACCTTTCGCAAAAAAGCTCGGACAGGGAAATTCGACCCTGGTAGCTTCCCTTTGACCCCTGACCCTTGTTTTCCCCACCCTCGCAAAGCTACCACTTCCTGTCCGTACTTCCGACAATGACGTTTATGGTTATAACCTCTTCTTTTTTCTCTCTCCCCCCCCCCCCCTTTTCTCCTCCCATTTGCTTTCCAGAATCACACCTTCATCAAGTGCGCCGAGGTGGAAGTGGTGGATTTTGCCGGCTGGCTATGCAAGACGCTGCGGTTGAAGCAGCCCAGCACCCCCACCCGCACGGCCATGTGACCGCCATGCCAGCTGCCTTGTTCTTCCTCCTCCCCCCCTCCCCCCCTCCCTCGTGCACCTGCTTGTCTGCTGCTGTTCGCTGCCCTCCCGGCAGAAGGAAGAAGCCCCCTGGCCTCGCCTCCCTCGATCTTTGCACCCGGAACAAACCAGGCAGGAGGGTTGTCAAGAAAGAGATTATCTCTCTCTTTCTTTTTCTCTCTCTTGTGGCCCCGAGAGCAGAAAGGAACTCCTTCCTCCTGTTCCCCTTCTGGGGTTTGGTTTCTCTTCCTGCGGTGGGAGAATCCCTCGCTCTCTGCAAGCTCTCGGCTTTGCGTGGGTAGGGCTGGCCGAGACGGGCCCGGCTGCTCTTTGGTTTGGGGAGGAGAGGAGGAAAGAGTTTCCAGGATAGGCTGGGTGCATCTCTCTCTTTATTTTCCTTCCTCTTTTCCTCTCCTTTCTTCTCTTATCTCTTTTTGTCTCTCTTCCTTTCTTTTTTCTCTCTCACTTTCTCTTTCTTTTTGGACAGCCATATATCCAAAATGGTGCAGGGCCGTGATGGCGAGCCTATGGCCAGGGGTGGCACGCAGAGCCCTCTCTGTGGGCAGGCGTGCCGTCGCCAGCTGCTCTTCTGGTTTCTGGCGCTCACATGCGCACCGGCAAGCTGGTCTTCACGGGTGCCTGAAAACAGCCCCCAAAACAGGCATTTTTCGGACCATTTTCAGGAGGTTTGAAAAAGGCCCCCCAAATGCCCAAACCGCAGGCATGGGCGGGCTGGCCGGCCAGCTGGTTTTTGGGTTTCCAGTGCTCTGGCGCGCTCACATGCACAGACGTTCCAGTTTGGCCACTCGGTGCCAAAAAGGTTCACCATCACTGGTATAAGGTTTCCTGTTGGAGCAGAGGGTTTGACTAAGACTTCCAAGTACCCTTGTTACTTTGTCTTTCTTTCTTTCTTTCTCTTTCTTTCTTTCTTTCTTTTTCTTTTTCTTTCTAATCTATCTATCCATCTCTCTCGCTCTGTGTCCCTTTCTTCTCTCTCCCTCCTCTCTCTCTCCCTTTCTGTCTCTTTCTCTGCATCTTTCTGTCTCCCTCCCTCCCCCTCCCTCCCTTTTCCACTCTCCTTTTCTGTGGGCGAATCCAAGGGTGGGCATTTGCTGATGGGCATAGATCTCACTGCCTGGGGCAGCCAGGGCAAAGCGGGCAGTTCAGCCAATCAGATGGCTTCGTGGTCGCCTCTTGGGGCCCAGGGGCGGGAAGGCCCCTGGCCTGTGGACTTCCTGGAAGCCGTTTGGGAGCAGATAGCAAAAAGAAACGGCCCGGTTCAGGAAACACGGCTCCCCTGGCCAAGCTCTCAACTCCCTCCTGTGACCATCCTCTCTTTTTGCCTGCCTGCCTTCCTGCCTTTGGTTTTGTCCCGGGACCTTCCTTTGAAGGGGAGTGGGCAGGAACTGGGGTCTGGGGGCAAAGAGGCGGGCAGGAGGGGTCCCGGCTTTGCCTTCAGACTTGGCACCCTTGAAAAGACCTTCTCTGTCCAAGGCTTCAGTGACACGATGAGCCTGAAGCCATTACAGAGTGCTGAATTTTGGGAGACGGGGTGGGAGGGGTGCGCCCTCGGGAGGACAGCTTGAGGTTGCAGTGGGCAGAAAAGCTATCGGTTCGTGGTTCTGCGACAGTTGTAAGTGCGAGGACCAGTTGTCCGTCCCTTCCCCCCTCCCTCCCCCCCAAGGTCGTGAATGCCAGGAGCGCCTCTGGCCTTGGCCGTCTCTTCTCCCTTCCTCTGTTTTGCTGCTTGGATACAACCAGGCTGCCCGAGGGTGGCATCGCTCCAGTTTCCCCCTTAAGGCTTGCCCGGCTTCTTCTGTTTTCCTTTCTTTGGGCTCTGCTGCTTCTGCACCGCTGCTGTCCCAGGAGGCTGCGGTGTCATCAGAGCGGTTGGGCTGCACACCTGGGGCTCTTCTGGGTGGGGCTGCGGCGCTCGGCCTCCCTGGCTCTGAGGAAAGGCAGCCACAGGAGGAGGAGGAGGAGGGGAAGGACTAAAAGTTTCATTGGCTGGGCCAGGATGCCCCCCCCCCTCTGTTTTCAGCCCCCTTGCCTCCATCCCCTTCCTTCCTCCTCTCCCTCCTTACCATCCAACCATCCATTCCATTTATCTTTTTCTTTCCCCCTCCTTCCATTTCCTTCCTCCTTCCCTCTCCTCTGTTTATCCTCATTGTCTTTCCATCTTCCTCCCCACTTCCTTTTTCCTTCCTTCCCTCTCTCCCGCTTTCCCATCCATCCTATTTATCTTTTTCTTTCTCCCTCCTTCCATTTACTTCCTCCCTCCCATCCATTAATCCCTGTCTTCCCATCTTCCTCCTCCCATTTTCTTTCCCTCCCTTTTTCCTTCCTTCCCTCCTTCCCTTTTGTCCATCCCCAACTGTTTGTCTGTCTGTCTGAATTAACAGAATAATAGAGTTGGAAGGGACTTTGGAGGTCTTCTAGACCAACTCCTATCCAAAACATCGTCCTTCCTCCTCTCTCTCCCTACCATCCAACCATCCATCCTGTTTATTTTTTTTCTTTCTCTCTCCTTCCATTTACTTCCTCTCCCTCTCATCTGTTTATCCTTGCTGTCTTTCCATCTTCCTCCCTACTCCCATTTTTCTTTTTTTCTTTCCTTCCTCCGATCCATTCTATTTATCTTTTTTCTTTCTCCCTCCTTCCACTTACTTCCTCTCCCTCCTTCCCATCCTTCCTGTCTTTCCATCTTCCTACCATTTCCTTTCCTTTCTGTTCATCCCTTTCTTTCCATTTCCTTTCTTCCTCCCTTCTCATCCCTTTCTCTCTCTCTCCTCCCCCTTTCTTTTCTTTTTTTTCCTTTTCCTTTCTCTCTCGCTTCCCCTTCTTAAAATGTCCATGTGGGCTAAAGGCATGCTTTGATTGCCAGCAAGGTTCCCAAAAAACAGTTAACAGTCCTGCGGGACCAAGAAGAAGGTGATGTTTTTTACTGGGGGAGAACGATAAACACCCCCATCAGCTGTTGCCTCCTTTAAGGGTTGCAGCCTTTTCCCTCGCCCCTCCCTCCGTGGCCCCTTGGAAGTGGATCGCCTCGATCCATCGATCGAGCTCGACCTCCATTTGGGAGGAGATCTGAGCAAGGGCCTCAGCCAGACAAGAGCCGTCCCCTGTGGCCTATTGATCTGCTGGCTGGCTAACCAGGAGGCCCTGATGCTTGCAAAGGGTTTGCACCTCGGGTACTCGCGCCCGCTGCTTGCCGAAGCCACCTCATCTCAGTTGCATGTACAGCAACCTCCCCCAACTTCCATCTACTGCCATCCTAAAGTGGCAGCCCCAAGCCCAGAGGTGCCAGAGTAAAATTTCCAAGCCCTCTTGGAGCAAAGGAAGCCAAAAATGAAAGCGGTATAACTAGTGGCTATGTCCAGTCAGATGTCATTCGGTTGTCCGTACTTTTCCGACACGGCTCCCACAGACTCCCATCCAAGTCTTACAGAAGACCACCGAATATTCAAGCTTTTTCTTTTGCCAAATTTGTAGCAAAATGGACGTGTTCTCTTCCCGCAGGTCTTTCCATTTGGTCCCCATGAATACGGCTGGCATCCCCATGAAGTGTAGCTAGATCCCATAACTGTAGCTTACTCCCTTCCAATCATACTACTCGTAGGATTGGAAGGGACCCCGAAGGTCTTCTAGTCCAACCCCCTGCTCAAGGCAGGAGATGCTATAGCAGGGGGTCTCCAACCTTGGCAACTTTTAACACTTGTGGACTTCAGCCAGCTGGCTGAGGAATTCTGGGAGTTGGAGTCCACAAGTGTTAAGAGTTGCCAAGGTTGGAGACCCCTGCCCTACACCATCCTGGTCAAATGGTGGTCCAGGCTTTTTTTTTTTAAACCTCCAGTGATGGAGCACCTACAACTCCGGGAAGTCAAATTTGTAGGGTCTTCTTGTGTTAGCCCCTTTGTCCAAGCTACATCTTTTTTCTTTCTCTTTTTCTCTTTTAATGACCCTGTAATCCCTTGCTTTGGGGTCGAGTCAGGGGCAACTGAATGGAGCTGAGCATTTACTGGCCGGATACCATCCCTGTCACCAGTGTGGAGTTCGCAGCAGATCATTTCTCATTGTCTTGCTCTCAGGAAATTTCAAGGCGAGGAGGGAATTTTAATTGGTTGTCGCTCGGGTTGCAGCTTTTTCCGATGAGAGTCTGCGGCATTCTGTTTTTTTGGGGAAGAGGGAGAGGACTTTTCAGGGATGTCTTCTGATGGAGAAGAAATGCTCGACCGCCGCTTCTCCTCCTCCTCCTCCTCTGAATTTCTCCCCGGTTCTACTACAACTCTGAACTTCCCTGTCCAGGAAAGCCATTGGTCTCTTTTTCTCTTGTCTCTTTTTCTCCTCCCTTTCACCTAATTTGAGGGACGAAGACACGAGGAGCAGGCAGTGGCCTGGGGTAGCTGGGCCGCTGGTTGAGTTTCAGATATTGCAAGTAAAAAATAATGATTGTATTGTTTTTAAAAGGGACGTGGTGGCTCAGTGGCTAAGACGCTGAGCTCGTTGATCAGAAAGGTCGGCAGTTTGGCGGTTCGAATCCCTAGTGTCGTGTAACGGAGTGAGCTCCCGTTACCTGTCCCATCTTCTGCCAACCTAGCAGTTCGAAAGCACGTAAGAATGCAAGTAGAAAAAATAGGGACCACTTTTAGTGGGAAGGTGACAGCGTTCCATGCGCCTTCGGTGTTTAGTCATGCCGGCCACATGACCACGGAGACGTCTTCGGACAGCGCTGGCTCTTCGGCTTTGAAACGGAGATGAGCACCACCCCCTAGAGTCGGGAACGACTAGCACATATGTATGAGGAGAATCCTTTATTGGTTTTTTTTTTTAATGGCCATAGCTCTTTAAGTCAGTCAATTGAAGGCCTTCATTTTAAAGCTGGAGTTGCTCTATTGCAAGAGCCTGCAAACATAGCCACTTTAAGCTGGCTGGGGAATTCTGGGTGTTGAAGTCCACAAATCTTAAAAAGTGGCCAAATTTGCAATCTCCGGCTGTATTTGAATGCTACAAAGGCTGCCATCCTGGTCTGTGCAGCTAAGAGTGGGTGGAAGCCTGGAGGTTGCGTGCACCATTGTGGAGGCTTTCATTCCTCCCCTTTTCCCCACCCTGCTGGAGAGTGATGAGGGAAGGCGGGGGAGGTGGATTCTCCCCAGGAAGAGCCCCAAAATGCAAAGAAACCTTAAAAAAAAAAATCTTTTAATCAATCCTGAAAGGACAGGTTGTGTCCAAAACATTTTGAGATGTCCAAAAATCGTAACGGTCCACTGGAATAGTCCCATCTTTATGCGGGTCACGGCAAGTGCGCGTCCGTTCTCCTATTGCAACGTCCAGCTCGAGACATTTTGGACCTTAACATCCCTGCGGGGTGGCCCGTGTTGCAGCGTGACGGCAGGAGGGTCTGTGGCGCATGGCTCTCTGGTTTTGTTTTTTGTTTTTTTTTTAAATTTCCTCACTAGCTGCTACTGTAATTCTCTGGTCTCCCCTGCGTGAACGCATTTTGCTCCAATTTGGGGGGACGACAACACAGGACTCCTGCAGATTTGAATGTGCCCCGTTCAGCGTTTGGAGTTAAGAAACGGCACCAGG